GGAAAGAATTTTTTACCGAAAATTAACTAACGACCAGAGACGTAACAATATTTTACGTAATAAAATTAGTAATTTCATCTAATTTCTTTTAGTTCTTTACATTCAGTGTTGCAACAAGGAAAAACATAAAACGGGAAGTTTCTACATTCTAAAACTACTTTTGTAAACTTTTTATATCATCATCACCATGATTAGCAGCTTCTTCTAGCAACTAACTAAATTATTACAACACCGTTCTCTTCCTGGATTGTGGAGTCCCTTGAACAATTCTAATATATAAATACGAGATTACATTAAACTGTTGTTCTTCTAACTTTCTTGCTTTTCTTCTAATTTTCTGTCTTGTTTTATGTGTGTGTGTTATCTCTTTTCTCTATTTATTTTAATTTTCTGTCTCTTTCTTATTCTCTTTCAATTAACTGTTTTACCATTTCCAGTGGAGTTTTGAACTCACTTCTTGCCCATGTTATCCTCATCTTGAAGTTAAGTTTAGTCTAAGTTCAAATTTTATTTTCGCTAAGATAATCCCACTTAAGTGTTGTAACAAATTCTATCGCTGAGTAGGTTCTTTTGGGTTATTTGGTAAAAAATAATGCAAAATCTAGGTCACATAACGTAAGGATAACCAATTAATTTGTTTTTAATAAACCTTTGGTACAGTCACATTCACTTGTAGGCATAATTTCAAATACAAAATTATTCAAAACAAACTCCGAACTACTGTAGGGTTAGTAATGTTTAACAGAAATTTCTTTGACTGATTAGCTGACAGAAACACTAACTCTTAGTGATCAAAATAATTTTATTCGATCAACAACCCAATCTTTCCTCGATCATCCATTCTGGTATTTATAATGAACTCTCGTTTCTACCAACTATAGGAAGATTTTAGATTATATGACTACTTTTACGGACTTTCAATATCTGTTTCTTTGTTTGTCTTAGAGCAAAGCCACATTGGGCTATCTGCAGTGTTCACCGCATGGAATCGAATCCCAGATTCTAGCGTTGTAAGTCCGTAAACTTACCCATGTCCCACCAGGGGACTTTTCAAGATCTAGCGTCATCGTCATGATCAGCAATTCTCTCAAGCAAAAACTAAAATATAACATTGAAAATATAGCTCACAAAAATTGCCACTTTTACTCATAACTTAGCAGCTTTATTTAGTTAATTGCAACAAATGAGTTTACAGTAAAGAAATAGAATAATTTTGAGTTTTCCAAAGTTTTGTAAGTTAATTTTTTTTTATGAACCAGTTTACATTGCTAGTTGGGTTTGTTTGTTTTTAAATTTCGCGCAAAGCTACACAAAGGCTATCTACGCTAGCCATCCCTAATTTAGCGGTGTAAGGAAGACAGCTAGTCATCACCATCCACCGCCAACTCTTGGGCTACTATTTTAACAACGAATAGTGGGATTGACCGTCACATTATAACGTCCCACGGCTGAAAGGGCGAGCATGTTTTTTGGGACGGGGATTTGAGCCCGCGACCCTCAGATTGCGAGTCGAGCGCCCTAACCACTTGGCCAGATAGTTTGGACATTTACTCATTATATACAAATGTATCTTTAAATGAAGTAATCGAGTTAAATAGTCAGATGTTATTAGCTGCATAACGATAGCAGGTTTTATCAAATTACTGAAATTTGTCTATCTTTTCAATGGTTGTTATTATGAACAAACTGATGGGGTTTCTATGAGATCAAAGGTTGCACAACGTTTTTAAAAATCCATGAGAAAATTCTGTTAGAGAAGTATACTAAACAGTCTAAACATATTGCAAAAGATATGCTGATGAAATCTTTTATAATTAAACAAATCTGATGTGTCTGATTTTTAAATCTATCTTAATAGTCAACATGCTATTATCAAATTTACTGTTTAAGAAAAATTACGCATGATGCAACTCCCCCCACCCACCCCCCAAAAAAACCTAGCCCTATAGTTCAAAAATAGTTTATATCGCGGTTTAATATACTGATTTTATAAAATGGTTTTTCATGAAGAAATGATAAATATAAATAAATTATTACAAAGAAACAGTTTTCCTCTTTATTTAATTCATAGTACTATTAAGAAGTATCTAGAGGCTTTATTCTACAAATAAACAAACAGTGTATTGTATTTTGCAGTATATGGAGAAATATGCATTAGAATTAAATAAAAAGATTAAAATTGTCTTGAATTGTAATATTCATCCTCAAATTCAACTTAAAATAGTTATTTTTAGCCTCATTGGCACTTTATATAACAAATAGATAGGCTAAACAACCTAGTCATATATCATTAGTGTTCATATATAGCCACAGGGGCTTTGAACTGAAAATGAGACTGACTGTTATTCTTATGGTTCACCAG